TAGGATAGTTTTTATTCCAGACTTTTGAAAGGTTCTCTTGGAAACGCGATATAACCGAACTACACGCGGGCGAAAAGATAATCAATTATAAATATTAATACGCTGTTAAATATTTGATAAGCTTTACTATCAGTTCTAATCAGACTAAAAACTCATAGTTTTTAGTTCCTATAAATAAAATTACTTTTTACAGTGTGTAATAAGTTCAATACTTTCTAATAATTGATATATTTTAATGTACTTTTGTCACAATATTTAAATAAATTTACAATTAGCATTTCGACATTACCCGCATGTGATAAAACATAACTCGCGATAATATGTATGTGTAACAGAGAAAATAACAGACAGACTGAACAAATTTATTTGCTTTATATATATAAGTGTACTACCTGGCAATTTCCTGGCTTTGGCCAGGGTCTGCCTTACATGTTGTGAATAGTTTTTGGCTAATTGTTTCTACGACCGGCGGCCTGCCAGACATCAACCCTCTTTGGGAATGCATTAATCAGTGATGTCTAAATACTCTTAAAGTACATATGACTCGGAACAATCACATTGGTACTTGCCAGGATCGAACCCGTGCCCTTGTGCATGAGAGGCGGGCCTTTTAATCACTAGGCCACCACTTAATGACTTTATATTTACTATATATATATATATATATATATTTGTTTACAAATATTCCTAGCATTCAATCGTCAATCTTATGCATCAATATTTGTTGAAATCAAGAAACCTAATTATATGTATTGTAAAAAAAATAATTTAAGAAGTAGTATATATACCTAACGAATTTATCAATTCATATTAATAATTGTGACAAATTTATATCATAAAATAATCTGTAAAGTTAAAATTTAAAACAATTCTGCCTCTACTAAGACATAAAATGAAATTAACTGACTTATAAAATGAATATTATCCCTAATGAATGATAATTTGTAATAAACAATTGTAATTTTTTGTTTTAAAAGCAAGGTTAAGGTTTTCTTGATGTACATTTATTATTTTAGTCACGGATTCGTTAAACTTCCAGTTTATAGTTAAATACAGATAGTTTGACGTAACTTCTTCACGCATAGTAACAGGCTGTTGAAATAAGTAGAAACGATATTTATGTAGTTTGAATAAAAAACCCGTGGTAATCATATCTTGTTTTGGATCTAAGTATAAAATATAAATTTTTCGCTGCTTAGAGTAATATATGTATTATTTTTAGTTGAAATACACAGAGCTATGCATTGATTATCTTAGAATTAACAGCTTAATCAACGATTAACATTTTTGTGGAGTAGAGCCTATCTGTAGTCAAGTTACTACAGCTCGAACATGTTCTGTCTCGACCGTAAGTACCACCCTCTCACTGAAGATCGGCGTCAAGTAGTCTTTAATGGATGCGTTTCGTCCGATGAGTGAGAGAGACGGTTGGCTATCCCTTTTCCCTCCCTTTCCCCCAATTTCCTCCCACTCTTCCTTAATCAAGGGTGACATACAATAACATCTCGGTTGCCCCTTTAGCATAAAAAAAATATTTTCAAACTTCTTCCCATTGTATCTCAATCCCTACTAATATTATAAATACGAAAGTAACTCTGTCTGTCTGTCTGTTACGCTTTCACGCCTAAACCACTGAACTGATTTTAATGAAATTTGGTACAGAGATAGAGTTGACATTGAGAAAGAACATACGATAGTTTTTATCCTAGACTTTTGAAAGGTTCTCTTGGAAACGCGATATAACCGAACTCAACGCGGGCGAAGCTGCGGGCGGAAAGCTAGTTCTAAATACTTTCTCTAAATACTTTGTCTCATACTAAAGACATAAATTCTTTTTCTACCTGGCAATTTCCCAGCTTAGAACCCTCTTTGGGAATGCATTAATCAGTCATGCCTAAATACTCTTATAAAGTACATTGGTACTTGCCAGGATCGAACCCGCGGCCTCGTGCATGAGAGGCGGGCCTTGTAACTACTAGGCCACCACTGACTATCAATAACTTTATTCCAAATAAATATATTTTGAGGACGATTGAGAAAAAAAGATTATTATTATTAATGAATTTTTTTAGTACTAAAAATAGGAATAATTTTGTCAATAAGGATAATCTTGTTAAAATATTTATTAAGGTAAAAACATTCAATTGAGTTTCTCAAAGTCGTTTCAATGAAATAATGCATTTATTACTCAACCTTCAAATATTTTTCCATTTGACCTACACTGGATGATATTTGGCGAAGATTCACATATATATACATATCTATACATATATATATATATATATATATATATATATATATATATATATATATATATATATATATATATATTAGTTTTTGCCGTCGACTTCGTCCGCGTTAATTTCGTCATTAGTAATATATGTATAGCTGACCAGGCGAACCTAGAGGCCGTAAATAACCAGATATTGGAGTTTATTAAGTATTTTCTGTTTCTATCGAACAGTGTTAAATATCCTTTGTCCGTCTCCTTGTTCTAATCTATCTCTCCACCAATCTTCCTCCATATCCGTACAGTCGTTAGAGCTATAAATAGTGTAACTAACACGACTTTCTTTTATATATAAGAATACGAAACAACGACCTTTGTAATAAAATAATTAAATAACTAAATGAATTCATACAAAAAAACTCTTGTTCATCGAAATTTTCTTTTGGCTAGCCTTTAAAAATCTGGCCCGATTTTGATTGAATCTTTACTTACATAGCTGACGCAATAAGGAGAAACATGTCTACTTTTTAAATTTACTCTATTTTATTATTATTATTATATATATTTAAGCAAAAGATCCGGGTAAAACTAGTTTATAATAAAAATAAAAAATCTAGATATTAATTAAAAGTAATAAAATAAAAACATCGCGTTAAAATACTCAAATTGGTTACACTATAATTACAAAAACAAGAAAAAATTATACACTATTTTATTAGTTTTTTGTTAAATTATTGAAATACATACAAAAATTTGGAAGCACATAAAATATTGTTAAATTTATTCTTTATTTAATATCATTATTAATTTTTAAGTAGACAGAGGGTGAAGGAATATTGAGGAAACCTGGACTTATATCAAATTATAAGTTTGAAATCTCCAACCCGTCTTGAGCGAGCGTGGTGATTAATGCTCAAACCTTCTCCATGTGAGAAGAGGCTCAGCAGTGGGCTCTGATAGACTGATGTATTGTCAACATGTCTACCAAAATTACAAGAAAAATATTGCGTTATCAGTTTTTGTTAATGTTTCATTAATATTAAACAAAATAGTCTTTCCAAAGTTTGTAGAAATATATAAAATAACTATATTTCAACGTACGTCCAGGCAGCCCTAGTAGGTTCGTTTCAAATTTGGTAGAGAGAGGAGCTTGTACGGTGTAGGTGAGCGTTTAACGTTAGATAGGGTCCCTTAAACCTATACCTGGGTCACAAGTCACAGTCACTGTTAAAGCTCCTCTCACTACAACGATGGACCCGACACACGCACCGTGAATACATGGAATGATGAGAGGAGCTTGTACGGTGGAGGTGATCGTTTAACGTTAGATAGGGTCCCTTAAACCTACACCTGGGTCACAAGTCCCAGTCACTGTTGAAGCTCCTCTCACTACAACGATGGACCCGACACACGCACCGTGAATACATGGAATGATGAGAGGATTCGTCTCTCTATATATATTAAACCTACACCTGGGTCACAAGTCACAGTCACTGTTGAAGCTCCTCTCACTACAACGATGGACCCGACACACGCACCGTGAATACATGGAATGATGAGAGGATTCGTCTCATGAGAATTACATATTAAAACTTATAACCTACACCCAAGACTACATGTTTGACCCGATGTTAGGATAGCAATACCATTCCATAGCTTGTGTGTATCAGGAATCTTCTGGTCCACACGCTTGGTGTTCGTTCCGCGGAGTCAGCGGTGTCAAGAGTTATATATTATACATACAACGATGTCGCCCCGGCGATGTTCATTTATTTCTTATGTACCGCGTACGTAACAATGTTTTGTTTAAGATTTACATATGTATGCAAATATAAGTAAGAAGTCCTTCAGATTTGGCAAAGCAATCTACCATTACGCATTTTAAAACATAAGAGTATTAATTTAATTGAGATAATAAAACTTGATCTTTTATTCATTTTTACGCCAAATTTGTTTTCTAAATACGCCCATTATATGAAAACGTTTTGCAAATATTTTTAATATGATAAATATTATGAATGAATTTAAAGAAAATATTTTTTTATATCGTTTTATCGTAAATGCTTTTTGTTATTAATAAAAACAAATTTTTATTATTTTTTTAATTAACTCGCCATTATGACGTACAGAAACGCCAATTATGGATGTAATAATAATGATTTCTAGTTATTTTAATGTTTTATGTGATGTAAACCTTATTTTTATTAATTTTCTTTTTTAATTTCAGATATGACGAAGTCAATAAAGCAAACACACAAAATGTAGCCGACTTTTACGCGGGAAAGTCGATTTTTATGACGGGAGGGACCGGGTTTGTAGGAAAGGTACCCCAATAGATGGCGCTTTTATTAATTTTAATAAATAAATCTATTTGCTCCTTTAAATATAAATTTGTTTATTTAAAAAATTATCTATTGTGATTTCGACAGGAATAATTTTATTGAATAATCATATTCAATATTTCTATTGAAACCTTAAATTGTAATGTCTTTAAAAGTTGTAATTAATGCCAATAGATGTCACTGTTTATAAAACCCAAATCCGGTTAATATGTTTAAATAGGAGAATTGATTAGGAGAGAAATGTCATTAAAATAAATATATTTATTTATTTAATACTTGATTTTGTTACAAACTTTATACTAGAAACTTAAACAATTTACATAGTATGTGGTAATTTATTTGAATTATTTTTGCTTTTTGTTTAGCAGTGACATCTATTGGCGATAATTAGAACTGTTTTCGATATATTTTAATTCATATATTTTCAGGTACTTATAGAGCGACTTCTTTCAAATTGCAATGACTTAGATAAGGTTTATGTCATGATAAGAGAGAAAAAAGGAGTTAGCACAGACACGCGTCTTAAAGAAATGTTTAATGTACCGGTAAGGACTCAACATAATATTAAAAAGATACATTTTGATAAAAAAACGATAATTTTAACAATTTTTTTATGATATAGTATATAAATATTGCTTTTAGTTACAAAAATATATGTTTCTATGACCTAAATTATGTTATAAGTATTATTTTTTGTGTAAATATTAAAATAAAATGTAAATTTTAATATTTTTCAGCTTTTCGATAGATTGAAACAAGAAAAGCCACATGTTATGAAAAAAGTTGTGCCAATTGGAGGTGACCTATCCCAGCATGAGCTGGCTATCAAGCCTGAGGATCTGGAGAAATTGGTTGAGAAGGTAGGTTTAATATCATCATCAGTCTATCAGAGCCCACTGCTGAGCCTCTTCTCACATGGAGAAGGTTTGAGCATTAATCACGCTCGCTCAAGACGGGTCGGTGATTTCAAACTTATAATTTGATATAAGTCCATGTTTCCTCACGATGTTTTCCTTCATAAGTCAGTGATGTCTAAATACTCTTAGACAGTACATATGACTCGGAACATCACATTGGTGCTTGCCAGGTTTCGAACCCGCGCCCTCATGTAAGAGAGGCGGGAATTTTAACCTTTAGGTCAGCACGACTTATTTTTATCACAAGTTTGGTACTAAAACGAAACCTATAGTAAGGGATATACATGAATACTTCAAACTCTTTGTATTTAAGTTTTCAAACTGAACTGATGGTAAGAATATTGAGAATAAGTATAATATTAGTGCGTTGAGTCTTTCCCTTTAGAAGAAGTAAAACTTCGAAATGTTAGAATGAAAATAGGAAAGGAATGGTAATTGGTTTTAAAGGAATTATTAGTGTTTCTTTAAAGCTAACTTCACTTACAATTTACATTTGATTCACTCATTAACTCTCTTTCCGTCTCTTTCTATTTCCTCCAGGAGCGTTGAATTTTTAACGCAACCTTGTCGGTAGTCGCATAAGAATGTTTACTTCAAAGATTTATAATATTTAAAAAAAATAACTTTATTAATTTATAAAGCTTTTTATTCATAATCCTTATTTTTAGTGAATTAAATGCAAATGAATTTATTAAGCTATTCTTTTTAGATTGAAAGAATTCAATATCTTATGTCCTTTCAATGTTCTAATCTATCTCTCCGCCAATCTTCATCCATACCCGTACAGTCGTTAGAGTTATAAATAGTGTAACTAACACGACTTTCTTTTATATATAATTTTGTGTGTTTGTCTGTCCAGGTGTCTGTAGTCTTTCACTCCGCGGCGACCGTCAGATTCAATGAGAAGATAGAAGAAACGATGAAAATAAATTACACCGGAACGAAGAAAATCATAGACTTGACTAAGAAGATGAAGAACTTGGATGTGAGTTCATAAAATATAGAAATTATAATTATTTCATAGGTTTCATTGTTTTCATAGGTTCCTTTACAGCAACCGTGATTACGAAGATTATATGAAATTGTCTGACAGTCAGTTTTATATGTATATACAGGGTGACTGGTGAATTACTATCGATACTTGAGGACGTGATATTTGACGATCATATATGACGAAATAAAAATTAATATAACATAAATATTAATAAACTTCTAAGTAAAGTTAACCAAAAGTTATGTAATTAATTACGCATCGTGTGAACACCCTACAGATTAGGTATACACACACACATACACACACATACGTGCGGCGGCGTGGTGTTGTATCAGCACGTCGCCGCACGCGTCCACACTTGGAACACTTGGAACGTGTCCACACTTTATTTATTTATACGGAAATTTGGTCATAAATTAAGTACCTATTGTTTTTACATAATTCGAATGAGAATCATGTACCGAGTATTCTCCTTAAATATTGATAGTAATTCACCAGTCACCCTGTATATCACACAATTAGCAGGTTCAATCCCAGCTCTTGTTTACATTTTTTTCGTTCAATACAATCCATTTTATTTTATTCATTCATTCATTCATTCATTGATTCATTCACTCATATTTTGTTCTATTCCCAGACCTTCCTATACATATCAACGGCGTTTTCCAACATGCACCACATGATAGTTGAGGAGAAGCTCTACTCTCCTATGAGGACGGAGCAAGAGGTGTATGATTTCATGAAAAACAGCGACAGAAGTACTTCAAGATATAAGAAGTTCTTAGGTCAGTGACCCTATAGTAATTTAAAAGTTAATTGAGCTATAATACTTTGATACAACAGCTATTATCTGTAAAAAGTTCTAGCGAAATCGGTATAACCGTTTCTTGAATTGACACAAAAGAAATATCTTTATATATACGAAAGTCGTGTTAGTTACTCTATTTATAACGACTGCACGGGTTTGGATGATAATTGGTGGAGAGATAGATTAGAACATAGAAAGGACATAGGATACTTTACATGCGATTAAAAAAGAAAAAAATATAAGTTAATCAAATACAAAATTTTCTTATCTACTGTTTAAGGAGAAATAGAATTCTCCCGAAAAGATATAAGTAAAGTGGACGAAGCCGCGGTTTAAGCTAGTATATATGTATATAATTTTAAGAGAGATTTATATAACGATAATAATAGTCATATTGTTTAAATTTATTTTACATTCTACATATATATTATTTTCAGGTGACTTTCAAAATCCTTATACATTGTCTAAATGCTTGTGTGAGAATTTGGTGTCGCAGGAAAAGGGGGACGCCAAGACGGTGATCGTGCGGCCATCTATCGGTGAGAAAACAAATTAATACTACATATAATATATAAGAAATAAATTTTGGCAGACCCTGGCTAAAGCTGGGAAATTGCCAGGAAGAAGATAATTTATAAGAAATAAAATTATATGTACTTACAATATCTTTAAAAGATAATTAATATACAAAATGGAATCCACTATGAGAATTTTCTTAATCCATTGATTGACAAAAAAATAAATGTAAATATGTAAAAAAATGTTTAAAAAATATATTTGTATGTACAAATTAAATGTGACAGAAAAATAACAGTGCGTGAAGTAAAACTTCGTATGCCGGAATGAAAACTGGAAGACTTAGAAATTAATTTTTAAGCAATTTTTAATATTTCTTTTAAAGAGAAACTTTATTAATATTACTAACAAGTCATTATTGATTGTCCGCGTTCCCTCTCGCTGTCTTATTATCCCCTTAATTATGACAACGTTGCGTTAAAAGTTTAACGCAACCTTCTTAAAAACGCATACGAAGTGTCACTTCTCAAAATCTCCATATATCTTCGTCGCTCTATCTTAATATCCTCCCGACGCGTTAAATATTTAACGCAACCTTGTTAAACGTATACATAAGTATCACTCAATCTTCATATATCTTCGTCACTCTGTCTTATTATCCTCCCGACGCGTTAAATATTTAACGCAACCATGTTAAACGTTGCATAAGTATCACTCAAATCTCCATATATCTTCCTCCCTCTGTCTTATTATCCTCCCGACGCGTTGAACATTTAACGCAACCTTGTTAAACGTTGCAAAAATCATTTCTTTTCAGTCGGTCCCTGCCTCTCATCTCCAATACCTGGATGGTTGGACACATGGATTGCTAATACCGCTTTATTCAGTGACATTACTCGAGGAATGACTCGAGTTTTCTACGGAGACCAGTCCGTAGTATGCGACATGATACCAGTAGATTTCGTCTCAAATTTCATCATAATCGCAGCAGCTAAAGGCGCCAGGTATAAATTTTAAAACTCTTAATTAAATTCTATATATATAGTTAGTTATTCCCAAAGAGGGTTGATGTCAGGCAGGCGGCCGGTCGTAAAAACAATAAGCCAAAACTATTAACAACATGTAAGACGGATCCTGGCTAAAGCTGGGAAATTGCCAGGAAGAAGAAGAATATTTAGAATGATTTAGAATACAAAAAATCAAAAATTAATATTTAAATCACGATTGGACGTGTTTGCTCTTTTTTATTGTAAGGCGTTTGAAGATTATAATTTTTTTTTCATTGTTTGAATTAATTTACTCAGAATATTGGATTTTAAAAGACTGATTTATCTTTTTAAGTCTTAATTTTTGATTGTAAAGAAAGTGTCTATCGTGTACATAAGTTCTTTATGACCATAGTAGAAGGAAAACTTCAATTTATTAGAAATAATGTACATATTTAGTATGTTAGATTTATATCAGAAATCAAATGTTCTTCAACTTTAAGAGTAATATTCTTTTTATATATGTATTAAGAATATTATCATTATTATATATTACACAGTGTTTTCCTACGAATATATTCAAATTTCTTTGGAATGAGGATAAGAGAAAATGCATAAATATAGCTTTTACTTAAAGGGCAGCTAAATATTGTTACTTCGTATTCAACAGTTATAAAATATTTCCATAGAAACAATATATTTTATAAATGTTTCTTGAAAATATACATTTTTATCTCATTCCAATTTCTAAGCTATATAACTGTAAAATTTCTTCAAAATCGATTAAGTAGTTTCATCATTATAAAGCAATGCAGTCCCAAAAAGGATTGATGTCAGACTGCCGGCCATAAAAACAATTAGACAAAACTATTCACAACATGTAAGGCAGACCCTGGCTATATCTGGGAAATTGCCAGGTAGAAGATCATTATAAAGCAGCATACACACTCATAAATTGTCTCATTTATAACTGGAACTAATTTTGCCAGTAGTGGGACTAATTGTTTTATACATTACAGCAACAAAGAATTAAATGTGTACAACGTATGCAGCAGTTCAATCAATCCAATCAGTTGGAAAGCTGCCGCTGACATGTATTTCGACGAGAGTTTAAAATATCCTAAATGTAAGTATTACAACGACTTACGAGTATTCATTTAAATGAAACTAATATTTTCGGAAAAATCACATTGGTGCTTGCCAGGATCGAACCCGTTCCCTCATGCATGAGAGGCGGGCCTTTAACCACTAGACCACAACGGTTTTTTACGAGTTATATGTAGTCTAAGAGTATTTAGACATAACTGACTGATAAAGGAAAACATTATGAGGAAATCTGGACTTATATCAAACTATAAGTTTGAAATCACCAACCCGTCTTGAGCAAGCGTGGTGATTAATGCTCAAACCTTCTCCATGTGAGAAAGAGGCCTTGCTCAGCAGTGGGCTTTGATAGGATGATGATGATGATAAATATTTTCGGATTATTTCATTCTCATTTTGTCTTAATGATCACGGTTGCTGCAAAGAAAGCGAAACGAATGAAGTTAAAATAATTATAAACGCGTGGTAATACGAAAATATTAGTTTCATTTAAATATGAATCTCAAATACTCATTTAAACAATACTTTTTGTACTGATTAAGTATTCACAGGCACTTTGTTTCAAAATATAGTATTGTATATATACATATCTAGGTTTTCTTTACATAATAAACAACATATTTCTCTCTCTCTCTTTATATATATATAACTTTTTTCTCTTTTTGTCAGTCCCAGGTCAATTAAAGCCTACGAAGCCTTTGATACTCAGGTCTCCCTTGCTAGTTGACACTTTGACCTTTACCCTTCAAACAGTACCAGCGGCCATGACGGACTTATATTTGAAGATAAGGGGAGAGAAACCAAGGTATAAACTAGTATATAAAAGAAAGTCGTGTTAGTTACACTATTTATAACTCTAACGACTGTACGGATATGGATGAAGATTGGTGGAGAGATAGATTAGAACATAGAAAGGACATAGGATATTTAATGCTGTTCGATTGAAACAAAAAAATACTTAATAAATTCTCGCTTCGAACTCGCAGGCAAAAACTAGTATATATAATTAATATGTCTGTCTGTTTGTTCTGACTAATCTCTGTAACGGCTGGATCGATTTTGTTATAACTGTCACTAATACGTAGATAATATAATCCAGAAGATATTGGCTACTATTTAACCGATTACGAAAAAGAGGAAGTTTTTTGTACGCCTATATATTTATATTATGTTACTTTTACAATTATGATCTAACTAGCTTTTCGCCCGCAGCTTCGCCCGCGTGGAGTTCGGTTATATCGCGTTTCCAAGAGAACCTTTCCAAAGTCTGGGATAAAAACTATCCTATGTTCTTTCTCAAAATCAACTCCATCTCTGTACCAAATTTCATTAAAATCAGTTCAGTGGTTTAGTTGTGAAAGCGTAACAGACAGACAGAGTTACTTTCGCATTTATAATATTAGTAGAGATTTATTCTCAAAGATTATTGAAATTATACTAAGTACTTTTGGCGCGATGTAGAAAATTGATGAGTGATTTTTTACGAGCGTACAGACAGCGACATCGTGAAGTTAGTTACAAGTGGAAAGTTAATATATAGCTATGTTCAAGTTGTATATTATAGTATATATACAGGGTGACTGGTGAATTACTATCGATATTTGAGGACGTGATATTTGACGATCATATATGACAAGATAAAAATTAATATAACATAAATATTAATAAAGTTCTAAGTAAAGTTAACCAAAAGTTATGTAATTAATTACGCATCGTATGAACACCCTACGGATTAGGTATTAGGTACACACACACATACGCGTTCACACTTGGAACACTTGGAACGTGTACACGCTTTATTTATTTAAACGGAAATTTGGTCAAAAATTAAGTACCTATTTTTTTTACATAATTCGAATGAGAATCATGTACCGAGTATTCTCCTTAAATATTGATAGTAATTCACCAGTCACCCTGTATATTTAGTATATTGTTTTCGTAAAAATACAATTAAACGTCAATAAATAAACATTATTTTGGTGTTTTTTCCTATTTCAGACATTTACACGAACAGAAACGAGCTGTTCTTCTGAGGGATATACTAAAACAATTCACAGCGGCCTCATTATTTATAAAATCTGAGAAAGCCAGGAAATTAATATCGGGACTGAGCGAAGAGGACAAGGTTCGATTCCCGTGCGACGCCAACACTATAGACTGGAGGGAGTATATGAAAATATTGTACGGAGGCGTTCAGAAATATATGTTTAAGAGGAATGTATAATACACACACACACACACACAGGCACATATATATACAACAAGATTACGAAATGAGATCTAACGTTTTCGTGAGTTTTATTCATTTTAAAATTTAAATGAAACTAATATTTTTTCAAATATACAACGCGACTTTATTTTTGTAACCATCTTTTGTAACCGAAACGTCGGGAGTATGTAGTTTTTACAAAAAGTCGCATAAAAAAATCCTAAAAATATTAGTTTCGTTTAAAAGAATACTACATATGACCAAAACAATCTTTTGATTACAAGAAATATAAAAATTGTATGAACAATTGTAATATATACAATACATATTACAAGGCAGATCCTGGCTAAAACTGGGAAATTGCCATCAAGAAGAAGAAGAATAAATATATACAATACAAAACTTCGTAACTCATAACATAATGTAACAAACCAAAAAGATATTGAATTATTATTACAAGTAAAATACTTTAAATTAAATAAATTCGTATAAGCTTTTAGCCGATATCAACAAAAGAGGGTTATGTTGACTTGTATCTACATATATGTAAATCCAAAAGGATTTAAGTACAATGAAAATAAAAATAAAATTATTTAATTAGAAAATAATGCGTTTATTTTAATCCCTACTAATATTATAAATGCGAAAGTAACTCTGTCTGTCTTTTGTTAAGCTTTCACGCCTAAACAAGTTAACTGATTTTAATGAAATTTAGTACAGAGATAGAGTTGACCTTGAGAAATAACATAGGATAGTTTTTATCCCAGACTTTTGAAAGGTTCTCTTGGAAACGCGATATAAACGAACTCCACGCGGCGAAGCTGCGGGCGGAAAGATAGAAAATATAATTTTAAAATGGCGAAATGTATTAAAAAAATATTTATTTCTGTATCCTTAATCCAAGTTATTCTCGTCACTACATACGCAGAGTTAACAGTTTCGTCATTAAATCTTTACACATTATAGTATAATAGAGCCTATCTGTAGTCAAGTTACTACAGCTCGAACATGTTGTCTCGACCGTAAGTACCACCCTCTCACTGAAGATCGGCGTGAAGTAGTCTTTAATGGATGCGTTGTCTGATGAGTGAGAGAGACGGTTGCCTTCCATCAATTTTCCCTCCCTTTCCCCCATTTTCCTCCCCTTCTTCCTTAATCAATCTTCCTCCATCAGGTAGGCCGTCTTTACCATAAATATAGGTATATAGGTTTATGAATGACATACGAGAAACGGTTGGTATGTAGTGAATAAACATGTATTAAGGATTTTTCTAATATATTCTTATTAATAAATAATTAATAACTAATATATATGAACAATGTCAGCGGTGGCCTAGTGATTAAAAGGCCATCCTCTCATGCACAAGGGCGCGGGTTCGATCCTGGCAAGTACCAATGTGATTTTTTCGAGTCATATGTACTTTATAAGTATTTAGACATCGCTGATTAATGCATTCCCAAAGAGGGTTGATGTCAGGCAGACGGCCGGTCGTAAAAACAATTAGCCAAAACTATTCACAACATGTAAGGCAGACCCTGGCTAAAGCTCGGAAAATTGCCAGGAAGCAGATTTATGAAAAATTACATTTTATAATCCAAATACTTCTACATATATAATGACTTCTATACAAGTTTTCAGACATTCACATCTCGTCTTAATGATCACGGTTGATGAAAAGTAACCGAAATTTCGTGAGTATGTAGTTAAAATAATAATTACGCGTAGTATACGAATATATTAGTTTAATTAAAGTTTTAACCATGCTAATTTTCTGTTCTTATCTAATAGAATGACTTTATAAAGATAATATAAATCTATAATTGTGATTTCTTTGTAGATTAACAAGTTTCTAAGCCGTTCTCTGTCACCTGTGTTCAAAGATAATGTGTACAGAGCTACAAAGATATAGAAGCGACAATATTTAATGAATAATGATATATATATATATATATATATATATATATATTTAATGAATAATGAATATATATAAATCTATGTATATATATATATATATATATATATATATATATATATTAAGAGAAATCCTGTATTTTGTAATCATGTTTTTTTTACACAATTGAATATCTATTATTTTTATTAATGTAACTCTGTTGGTAATTGATTGCAATAACAAATTGCATGCTGTAATTACCTGTAAGCAAAAGAACAATTGAAATGTATTACTAAAATTACCGCTGTACACGAATTATTGTATCTTTTGTTGGTAGTTCTAAATAAATAAATAAATATATATGTCTTACGTCAACCGGAATGCTACGTAGGTCACAAATGCCTTAATATGACCCTACCTGACACCAGGAGTAGAGGAAGGAAGAAGAAACCTTGGCTTGATGTAGTGCAGGATGACATGCGTGCCAATGGACTCAGTAAGAAGGTTGCCGATCAGGCAAAGTGGAGGAGACTGAGTAGGAAAGAGGACCCTGGGTTCTACATACGAGCGACCGGGATATCTTTATATATATAATTCTTCTGTGAGTGTGTATGTCACTGAACTTCTCTCAAACGACTGGACCGATTTTGATGAATTTTTTTGTGTGTGTTCAAGGGGATCCGGGAATTGTTTAGATTCACAATTTTGTCCGCTGGACAGTGTTTTTTTAATTAATTTTTAAATTATTAGTAGTTGTTGACACAAACGTTTTTTTTTTGACATTAGATTTGACAACTAACTAATATGTCATTCTGTCGCACTTCGAAACACAGAGATTTATGGCTTTAATAAGTAAACTCCAAAAATATAAATAATAAAACGTAACAGATATTTCTTGATTATAGGGCGATACGAAGTTCGCCGGGTCTTTATATATATATATATATATATATATATATATATATATATATATATATATATATATATAGCTTAAATAGAAAAATACTTTTTGAGACTACCTTATAAAGAATATGAATCCATCGCGACCCTTGTTTTAAAGACGCGAGCCAAATATCTATAGTTTATAAATCAAAATTTATATTTATATATACAATACGTTCTATTGATTATACTCTATTTGGATAGAATTACTAATTAAAAAACATAATATAGGTTTACATAAAATGTATAGCGACCTCTCTATCGATACAAAGATCTATGTAATGACTAAAATTATCGATATTTAATCAAAACGATAAATTACTTCGGATCATTATAACATTGTATGTAGCAGGTGGGTGATAAGTAACATGGACAAACAAGCGATCCTATTTGGTGAGTAATTATAATATAATAATATTAATCTTCTATATATATAAAAATGGATTGCTGTTCCTTAGTCTCGCTAAAACTCGAGAACGGCTGAACCGATTTGGCTAATTTTAGTCTTGAAATACTCCTGGAAGTCCAGGACAGGTTTAAAAGGTGAGAAAATTTGGAAAAATTGCCGGGAAAACCCTAAAAACAGCCCTTTTCTATTTCCCATACAAACGATTTTTTGACATTAGACTTGACAACTAACTAATATGTCAATCATTCTGTTCGACTGAAACAGGAAAAATTTAATAAATACCAATACCTGGTTATTTAAGACGGAATAGAGTTTGCCCGGTCAGCTATACATATATTAATAATGACGAAATTAACGCGGACGAAGTCGCGGGCAAAAACTAGTATACAATATTAATGCATTCCCAAAGAGGGTTGATGTCAGGCGGCCGGTCGTAAATACAATTAGACAAAACTATTCACAACATGTAAAGCAGGCCCTGGCTATAGCTGGGAAATTGCCAGGTAGAAAAAGATTAATATACAATTTGAAAGTATTACGAGTATGTTTTGGCAAAGCTTTTATATAGTTTATTATGAGAATAATAATTATGGGTATTTCGTGGGTAAATTTTATTGCAATTACTCCCAACAAACTAATCGAAATATTCCCAAAGTATCTGAAAGAAAAAACCTCATTAATAGCAACCATGAAGTTGATTTAGTAACTACTAGCCATCCGCCCACAGCTTCGCCCGCGTGGAGTTCGGTTATATCGCGTTTCCAAGAGAACCTTTCAAAAGTCTGGGATAAAAACTATCCTATGTTCTTTCTCAAGGTCAACTCTATATGTACCAAAATTCATTAAAATCAGTTCATTGGTTTAGGCGTGAAAGCGTAACAGACAGACAGAGTTACTTTCGCATTTATAATATTAGTAGGGATATATGAAGATAATTACATTACCTTCCTATATGGATCGATGTCATATAAACTAGTGTCCAGAAATGCAACCAGGATTTAAGAGTAACCAATGGGTGAATAAGTCTACATTGATATTCCAACTAGTCATCAAAATTTAAGTAATGACAGGTTTTAACTGTCAAAAGAGGATTAAAACTCAACCACACTTGATTTGATGATGAAGGGAAGGTAGACTTGGAGAATCTCCAGGCAATGAGCAATTAGAGACCAAGAATAGATCATGGAACATACAATACAAAGATTTGGATTCCACTTGTCTTTAGTAACTGAAATTAGACTTACAAAACATTGCTCGAATATAGTTAAAAGATTTTTTTTGGATTCAAGACAGCAGATGGAAAGGATATATAGATTGCAATAACTGCTTAGTACCTAAAAAATTACACCCAAAAATGGCTGTTGTTTTAAATATTCTGTAAAAAAATTCTATAAAGATTTCTTTTGATAGATGGACATCCGACATCGTAAGTATTTCAGATCAAGAGAATAAAAAGATAACAGATATATGGGTAAAATTTTATTTGTCCAAATCAATAATTCTTGTTTAAGAAAACAAAAGCAAGAGAATTTAATGTCACTGAAGTGATTTCAAGCTATCAGCAAAAAATAGCAATATGTAGTAGAATAAGCATCCCAAACAAATCTTTTTTAACATTCTAGAGTCTAAATCTTTATTCTTAACTAAATGCCTTTAAAAATTACATGAAACCTTTAAACCAGAAGTTATTTTGTTAGGATATTTACGTCTATTGAAGTGTGTAAAGAAATAGGTTGAGACAAAAATATAAAACAATATTTAGATGGAAAATGTGACGACAGAAACAATGATTAATTATATAATGTTAGATTGGACTTTGAAGAAAAGTTTGATATAAAAGAAAGATATTTCAGGACCTAAAAAAGAGTTTGGTGGCAATGATGTTAGTATAATCAGTAAATCTTCTATCTTCTACATCTTCTATATATATAAAAATGAATTGCTGTTCCTTAGTCTCACTAAAACTCGAGAACGGCTGAACGGATTTATCTTATCTTAGTCTTGAAATGTTCGTGGAGGTTCAGGGAAGGTATAAAAGATGAAAAAAATTGATTCATTACTGGGAAAACCATAAAAACAGCGCTTTTCTATTTCGCGTACAAATGTTTTTTTGACATTAGATTTGACAACTAACTAATATGTCAATCATTCTGTTCGATTGAAACAGGAAAATTTTAATAAATACCAATACCTGGTTATTTAAGACGGAATAGAGTTCGCCCGGTCAGCTATACATATATTAATGATAGAGAAATTAACGCGGACAAAGTCGCCGGTAAAAACTAGTCTTATATAAAAATTAAAGTTTTTTTTAATATGAGAACAATATAGGTAAGAAAACATAGAATTAATTAGATTATTAACATAAAATGTATATATATTAAAAATATATTAACAAAGACAACGGTTCATTACTGATAAAAGCTCAATAAGACTTTGTTTGAGATACCAAACCAATTGTCCTTTGAAACTTGCAACAAGACGCAGAAGATGACTATATAGGCAGATGAAGATATGTGAATAATGGGAAGAAATAAAGATACATAAATGAGATTCCCGCAAAATTATGGAAGCATTTAGAAAGCCAGTGGTGGCCTAGTGGTTAAGGGGCCCGTCTCTCGTTGCCGAGGGCACGGGGTCAAACCTGGCAAGTACCAATGTGATTTTTCGGAGTCACATGTACTTTCTGAAAGTATTTAGACCCCACTGACATACGGTGAAGGAAAACATTGTGAGGAAACCTGGACTTATAGTTTCTCAATTATAAGTTTGAAATCACCAACCCGTCTTGAGCAAGCGTGGTGATTAATGCTCAAACCTTCTCCATGTGAGAAAGAGGCCTTGCTCAGCAGTGGGCGCTGATAGGATGATGACGATGACGATTCAGAAAGAATATGAGTCCAAGAGAAATATTTTTCAATTTATTGGCACACTTCTCTAAGCCAGCATGCGCCATAGATAATTAATTCTTCAGGTTTCCTTAGAAACACATCCATCTTTCCCACTCTGTTTTTTTTGTCCACTGAAAACGCTTTTGAATAACTCTAGTTCTTACATTAATATTATTGTGGTATTTTTTACCCAGTAGTGACAGTCAGTGTTGGTATATGGGGCGCGCCTCCCGCCGAGTTAAAGCATTTTTAGAAAAACATATAGATTCAAAAGAATATTTTCTTCTATTTCACCAAAAAATCAATTTATTAGCACATAAATTAATTGAAGTTATGTATAGAAAATATTTGCAATGATTCACTAATAGAATTAATCATAATTTCTAAGGTATTGAACACACAAGTTTTTTATCTCAATAAAAACTGAATACCTTTTTATTTTGTCCAAAGAAACTTCATTCTGTTATATTTACTATCTTTGAATGGCCTTTCAATATAAATTATGTTTTTAACCGTAAATAATATTAAAATTGTATCTTATTTCAAGCCCTGCTTCTAAATGCATCGTTTGTGTGTTCACAATGGGTATGCAGACAAAACAGCGACTGTTCGAGTCTGTCTGGCAGTTTATGTATATCAGGCCAATGTGCTTGTGAGCCAGGACAACAAGTAGTGCTGGGAGGCAGTATGTGTATAGATGGTAAGCCCCAAAATTAATTTTCACTTATTCAACTGGTCATTTTAAATATATATTTTGAAATGTCTATTCAATATTTTTAAAAGAAAAACACGATGTAACATTTGCGAATTTGACAATGAGTTTTTTGAAAAGGTGAATTAAGGAACAAAATGATGATGCAAATATCAGTACAATAAATAAAATTACAAATTAAAATATACATAAAATAGCTTAAAAACTAATAAATATAGAAATGAATCGCAAAATGTGTTTGTAAGCGCATAACTCAACAACGCCTGGACCAATTTGGCCAATTCTTTTTTTTAAATGTTCGTTGAAGTCCAAGGATGGTTCTTACGTCGAGAAAAAATCGAATAATTGCCGGGAAAACCCTAAAAACATAGTTTTCTTTTTGACATACAAACGTTTTCTAACAAAACCGTAGAATCAATTTGAGCTTTATTGCCATTATATAAAGTTCATATTCAATTACAAGCACTCACTGTTATCTAAGAAATGTAGGTGTATTCCTAACTTCAAAAGTAAATTTGCACTTTCTTACTGCTATACAAAGTTCAAATTCAATCATATCTATCAAAACAGTATGCGTGTGTGTGTTGGAGCATAAAATACGTCGTCGGAGGATTTAATGTCGCCAGATAATCAAAATAAAAACATCTTTTATCACAAAGCACTACAATGAAAATAGAACTGATTTTTTTTTGTTAATAATTATGATTTACATGATTAAAATTACTTACTTTTAAATGCGCGATACATAAGCTGAGCTTGACGTTTGTGTGACTATATTAGTCTATGATAAACTATTGTCTCTGTCTTAAAAGTTCAGTTATTCTTTCAAATTGTTTGCAAACTGTAAATTGTTTTTTTTGTATGGTTTTGTACGAGTACATTATATTCAGTTTTACTATTTGTGGCCGGAGTTATAATAAAAAATACCTACATAATTCATTTACGAGTTCTTAGTGTAATTTTCACATTGGTTTCTACAGGATAATTTGTACTGTGTGTTTTTTTCTGAAGTGATTGTTCAACAAGGTAAGTCAAATTATTATAGTATTGAAAAGTTTTGATAGACCATTTTGATACTATTTTGTTATTATTTTGATATGATGACCATTTTGATATTATTTTGATACAAAAGAATAGGTATAGAATAATAGTATTTTTTATTTTCAGTTGAATTTTTGTTTCAAAACATGGCGGCAATTACACGTACAAACTTAAATCGCAGAACCCGTAATGCCTCAAGTCAAAGATATAGAAGAGCAAGTCTAATTGATGACCAACGTGAAACGCGGAATGAAGTTGAACGAAATCGATGAAACCGAAACCAACGATATAAAAGTGTTGCTTTTAACCCCTATAGAGCTGCATTTGATTATAACAGAAATGAACAACAGTATAATAAATTTTATGCCAACTTTTAAGGTAGGTGTATTGAAAAACATTTTCCACTATTGTTGACAGTTTTCAATTTTAATGGTGCGTCATTTGAAATGGCTTAAAGTATGTTTGTAGCTCTGAATTACTTTTAGTAGCCAGAAGGAATTGTGTTAAAAAAGTTGATGGGGGAAATGGTAGTGCTCACAAAGTATTTTGAGTGTCACTTGGTGGTTTGAACAATTCACTTTACAATATGTATATGTAATACAGGAATGTTTACCTTTGCAGATTCAAGCACAAATATATCATTGAACTTATTAGTTATCACCAGTGCCGGTCAGTGATTCAGGAAGACAAGTTGATCAGTGTTGTGCACACAACTATTCTGTGAAAAGACCAGTTGTGGAACAGTTCCAATTATTATTCCATCAACACAACTCATTGGTTGCATTATTCAAGACCACATTAGATCACATGCCATCTGATAATCACAAAATTGTTATCAAACACATAAGACATTTTAATGCCCAAAGAATCAATGAAGTATTGTCATTGTGGGTGAAAATGTGGATAACAGAAATATTGTTTTACACCGGTGTAACAATCAACTGCAGCATGTGTCCGAAACACATCGAACATATATAAATATATTTTATCTTATCTTGGAAAGGTGAAGATGGGTATTATTTTTAATGAAGATGATAAATCCAGTTACAGGGAAATAAAAAAAATTAAGTTTTTAAAGTAATTTATATAATTTTATCACAAAAAAATGTTTTTAGGTTCTGAAACTAACAAAAAAGTTAATTCAATTAATTATTATTCATACAGGCTTATACATAGTTGGAGAAGTTAAGGTCAATCACATCTTAATATGTTAGCGTCTCTGTCACCAATATGCTGTTGATATGCATGTAAAAGTGGAAACTGAAAACTCCATTGAAGATTAAGGAAATTAACTTCATTCAGATAAAAACGCTATAGATATTTCTTGATTATAGGGCGATACGAAGTCCGCCGGGCTGCTAGTTACTAATATAATATAACCACTTAAAATTCTTGAACGATGTCATCTCGACGACCCATAAGTGAATTATTGATTCTTCTATATTGTTTTTTTGAAAAGTTCTACATATATATATGGTGATTTTATTATTCTTTTCTATGAACCCTGTATGATACATTAGTTCAAGTATGCTTTAACTTTAGATCAATATTTATATAGTATTTTATACCAGAATTTCAATATTCACACAATAGCTTCGTTAGTAAAACAATTGGGATGAAATATTCTAGTGGTCGCAGGTTCAAATTCTGTCTGCGTTAGAATTTTTTGTTCTTATATCTCATACATTGACTGTAGAAATGATTTTTACAATTTTTATATAGAAATAACTTATATTTAATTTATGTATATATATCGTAAATTTTAATAATTTCTAAGTATTGCAAGTTCATATTTTATTTTATATTTTCAGTTGCTCCCTACTACTCATCTTCCTGCGTAGAAGATTTTCAGTGTGGTGGGTTATTCACTGGCTTCGAATGTAGGAAGAATGGAAATAATACTGGTGGGTAGAGCGATAAGTATAAAAAACTTTATAAATATACTAAGATTAAGATTAGCTTTATTTTATATATATATATTCTACTGTAAGTGTGTGTGTCAGTAAACTATTAAACGACTGGACCGATTTGAATAAAATTAATTCATGCATTTAGGGCTTAGATTGTTTACATTCACATATCATGCCAGTAGATTGCACTGTACTCATTTAAATGAAACTAATATTTTCTCAGGTACTACACGATTTTTATTTTTGACTATAAACTACATACTACCGACGTTTCGGTTACTTTACAGCAACCGTGATCACGGGCAGACGAGATCTCGTAGTACATCCGAAAAAATATTAGTTTCATTTACTATATGTATTGTTTTAACACTTACTTTTCTCACTGAGAGCATTTTATTATTGACACGGACGGAGCTGCGGGCAAAAACTAGTATATACATATAATTTTAGCCATAAATAATACAAATAACTGATATTTGATACATTTAATCATTTTATTCAATTCACAGCGGGCCAATGCATGTGTAAACCCGGTTTCCACTTTCTAAGTGGCAGATGTTGGATGTCAAAAGCACATGGTGAGGCTTGCAGCACTAGTGAGGAATGTATGAACACAGCGATAGATCCATTCAGTCTCCAGTGTAATAAAACTTGCCAGTGCGCAGACGGATATACAGAAAGACAAAGAGGCATTTGCAGGAAGACATCAAGCGGTGAGAATGATTTTTATAATAGAGAAATCTCTTAAATTTTTTTGCTATGTAATATTCAGGAAGGAGATTTTTATTTGAATCTTGCTATAAAACTGTTGCTAGAGTGTTGCTGTGTTGCTATTAAGAAATATACTCGACTAGTACTTTAAGGTAAAACTAGTTTTTATATAATATATGTTTATATCAAAAATGTTCTCATATTATTATTATAAATAATAAAATATGAAATATAAATAAGACATCGAGGGTTTCCAATAAACATAATAGATGGCGCTGAAAATAAAAATTCTAAATTCATATATGTATTTTCAGCTGTTGGTGAAGCGTGTGTGTTGAACAGCGACTGTAACTTTCCCGGTGGTGTTTGCAATCCTCGTACATTCGTTTGCAGCAACGCCAATGGTGAGTGAATCTAGAAAATAATTACTATAGAATATATATAAAAAAGTCAGTGGTGGCCTAGTGGTAAAAGGCTGGCCTCATGCACGAAGGCGCAGGTTCGATCCTGGCAAGTACCAATGTGATGTTCCGAGTCATATGTACTTTATAAGAGTATTTAGACATCACTGACAGATGAAAGAAAACATCGTGAGGAAACATGGACTTTCACAATTATAAGTTTGATATCACCAACCCGTTATGAGCGAGCGTGGTGATTAATGTTCAAACCTTCTCCATGTGAGAAGAGGCTGGTATGGAATAGGATGATGATATACATATATAAAAAAGAATACTACAATTAAATACTATTGAAAATGCTAAAATATATAAAATATAGTTGTAAAAACATATTTATGTGTTGATATAATAATGTGATTCTTGAGATCAAAGCAATGATAATTAATTAGCAAATATCTAAGACTTAAGTATTCATTTAAATGAAACTAATATTTTCGTATACTACTTTTCTTATTATTTTAAACTACATACACCCGACGTTTTGTTTACTTTATAACCGTGATCACGGATAGAGATGAAAATAATTCTCACGGTTCAAATAATAAAAAAATGCGTGGTATTTCGAAGATATTAGTTTTATTTATTTCTGGTTTTATCATATACTAGCTTTCCGCCCTCAGCTTCGCCCGCGTGGAGTTCGGTTATATAGCGTTGCCAAGAGAACCTTTCAAAAGTCTGTGATAAAAACTATCCTATGTTCTTTCTCAAGGTCAACTCTATCTGTACCAAATTTCATTAAAATCAGTTCAGTGGTTTAGGCGTGAAAGCGTAACAGACAGACAGAGTTTTATTTATAATATTAATAGGGATATAAAATTGAAATCTCTTTTACAGACACATCAACGCAGAGTCCGTTCCGCAACTTCGAGATACAGACACATCAAAATATATCGCGAGTGAGGTGTAATGGAAACAATTCATGTGTCAGTCCGTTTGTTTGTTCCGGAATAGGCATATGCGTGTGTCCACCCGGATACTATGAGAGTAGAAATGGTGGATGTTTGGCTGGTAAGGACTTATAATAATAATAATTTATTTATTTAGGCATCCTTGACCAACCTTTTTTTTTAGTACACATTTTCCTTATACCTATGTTAGTAACAACTTAGTTTATTATCAATTAACTGTGTAATTACATTTACAATTAAACTATTATCTAATTAATAAATAATTCAATTTATTAATTTAATTACTATAGAATTCAGATATAAATAAATTTTAAGCTTTAATTTTTAATACATATTTATTAATTTTATAGTTGAATCCAATTACTTTAATACAATTCACCAATATATAATTTATTATCAATTCATTTCAATTACAAAAGAAATGTTTTCTAATAATTATAAGTATCTAATAATTTCATGTTTTAGTCAATCAAAATCAATTTATAGTAATTCTACTATAAACTTGTTAAATGTAGGCAAAACTAATAATAAAGTAACTGTCATATATCTCTATTTAAAGTCATTGTGTAATGTAATCTGTATATAACACTCACTCTAGATGTAAACACACACACACACACACACAATCTGTTAATATATATAACACTAAAGTGTCACGAACAGGGAGTGATGATATATAGAACACTGATTATATGTGGTGCGAACCACTCATACACATATACATATATTACTGCTATATATATACACATCAATATAATAAAATCAAAATATTATGTATATATGTTTGTCAGTCATTGTACTAAAATATATTGAGCGGATTTTAATGAGACTGTAATAATATATGTCATATATTATAATAACACATAGTATATAATGTATCGTTCAGTCCGTGTAGTTCCCGGGAACACTTCATAACAGATGTATTGTGTGAAGTAACGACACGATAGATGGCGCTGACTGTTGCTTCATGTATATATATAACTAGCTTTTGCCGCGACTCCGTCCGCGTGGAATAGTGACTTCCGGCAGATTTTTGGTTCTTCCCACATAGTTCCCGTTCTTGCGGGGTTTTCGGAATGGTCGAGTTCCCGTAGAATTTCCAGGATAAAACCTATGTTTATTTTTTATTCACAATGAAGTACTCTTAACCAACAACATATTTATTTGTTTATTTGAATAAAGATTAATATTATTATGTTGATATAACTTAAACAAATTATTTCGACCAAATTAGGTACCATAAAAAGGTTTTTGTGAGTTAATCTTAAAAGATAGACATATACTGTCGCGGACTGTTTTTTAGATCATTAAAAGAGCTATTATTCTTTAATACATATTTTTTGTGTATCTTGAACCGTTTTCACGGCGCACGCAACGGAAGGCTTCAAAGATGAAAGAATTTCTCCCGTTTTTTACACATTTACCACTATATCTTTGCTCCTATTGGTCGTAGCGGGATGTTATATAGCCTACAGCCTTCCTCGATAACTGGACTATCCAACACAAAAAGAATTATTCAATTCGAACCAGTAGTTTCGGAGATTAGCGCTTTCAAACAAACAAACAAACAAACTCTTCAGCTTTATAATATTAGTATAGATTCTTCTGTGAGTGTGTATGTCACTTAACTTATCTCAAACGACCGGACCGATTTTGTGTGTGTTCATGGGGATTTAGGAATTGTTTAGATTCACAATTTTGTCCCCTGGACAATGTTTTTTTAATTAATTTTTAATTTATCAGTAGTTGTTGATACAAACTTTTTTTTTGACATTAGATTTGACAAATAACTAATATGTCATTCATTCTGTCGCACTTCAAAACGCGGAGATTTATGGCTTACTTAAACTCCAAAAATATAAATAAAAAAACGTAACAGATATTTCTTGATTATAGGGCGATAAGAAGTTCGCCGGGTCTTCTAGTATATGTATATTATTTTATATATGTTATATATTATTCACAGAGCTCGGATCTCCCTCAACTCCAGAACAATGCGTTGGTTTCCTAGCAGAAGTCGTGAATGGTATTTGTACGTGTAGGAATAATTTCTTCTTCGATGAGAACATGAGGGATTGTGTTAAAGGTAAGTAAAGATAGCTTTTACTAGGAATATTTTATTCTGGTATAATTATTTTGCATAAATATACTTACTATCTTAATGATTGTTAAGATTTTTTGTACACATTTAAGGGTAGTTTTTTGGATACTACGAGTTTTTTATTGTTTTATATCTATCTATCTATATATCTTGTATATATATAGACAAACTGACAGACACTTTTGTTTCGTCTTTGTGATCACAATCGCTGTAAATGAACCGATATGTCGTGATGTAGATATAAAATAAATAAAAAACAAGTAGTATACGAAAAACTTACTTCTTTTCTGTTACATTTAAATGAACTAAATGTATTGTATTGTTATAATTATTAAAGTAATACCATTTTACAATATATTTACCAATCATTAATTTTTTTTTATGTTACATGAAATTGTTTTAAGATTATAATCGATACAAACTTTCTCATTTTACATGTTTTTATATATTCAATTTATTTTAAAATCATGGTTTTATAAAACTCAAATTAAGTTTTTGGTATTCATTGTGTTAAAAAATCCAAATATAATAAATAGTTTCACTATTATAAAAATATTTGTATCTAGCATTTTGGTTATTTTATAAATTACCTTTAAAACCATGGAATGATGAGAAGTTTCGTCTATAATATATAGAAGGAGTAATATTTCAATATATTTTCAGTGAGTCGTTTCATAACTGATTCCTGTATGTCCGATGCATCCTGTTACACATTCGGACCGGCTCGCTGTGGCCCACCCTCTTCTCCGTACGGCATAAGAACTTGTGAATGTGTGGATTCAATATGGGATGATAATATGAACGCCTGCAGATATTTCTCCGGTAAATATATATATTTTTAGGTAATTTTTGATAATTTTTTTTTGTTCGAAACACAAATGAAGTGTATCTATTTATTTATATAATATATTATAAATTTCTTTTACGGTGTTACAAAATCCCTGTCGGATTTATCCGTACACCGGCATTCATTGAGTACATTCGAAACTTTTAGTACATAAATATACTATAAACTACATAAGATTTTGAGTAACTAATGTTTGTTTAATTATAACTCATATGTGAATGTACAAATGCATTGAAAGTAATATATGTAGGATTCCAACGAAATCGTTAAGAAATAGGTGACTTATAAAACTTCTTTTAAATACAAATCAAATTTTAATTAGATCAAACTAATTATTATTATCTTAAAACAAAATATTTTATATAAGTTAAATTCAGTTTATAAAGACACAAGTTTCAACAAATACTTTCCCTCGTAAAAGTGAACAAACCAAACGTCATCTCTTTAACGACACTTCGGGTGCGTTCGGGAGTTTAAAGGTTCGCTTCAAATTAAATGTATGTTGTCTAAATATATTATAACTAGAAGACCCGTCGAACTTCGTATCGCCCTATAATCAACAAAAATCTGTTACGTTTTTTTATTTATATTTTTGGAGTTCACCTATTAAAGCCATAAATCTATGTGTTTTGAAGTACGACAGAATGATTGACATATTAGTTAGTTGTCAAATGTAATGTTAAAAAAATCGTTTGTATCAACGACTACTAATAAATTAAAAATTATTTAAAAACATTGTCCAGCGGACAAAATTGTGAATCTAAACCAATCCCAGATCTTCTTGAACACACAAAAAATTTCATTAAAATCGGTCCAGTCGTCTGAGAGAAGTGACATACACACTCACAGAAGAATTATATATATATAAAGATTATTTAATTTCTAGGTGTCGGTGAATATTGTGAATTGGACAGCGATTGTCTTGCTGGGGATAAACAGATAGATTGTGTTAAGAATAGTGATGGAGCAGGAGTTTGTACGTGTCCTATAGGACAGACGGAGTTCGAGGGATTATGTCTTGAATCAGATCTTGGTGAGTAAATTATAATAATTTTTACCCACAAAAGAATTATGTTCAATTAAAACTAATATTTTTCTGATATACGCGTGCTTTCAAGGTAGAGAGAGGAGCTTATAAATAAATTACGTTATAAATCTCTTTACAACCTAATGAAAGACTTGGGCCTGTCTAGAACTAATATCAATTCATTACTAGAACGAAGTTTGAAGTATCAAAGGCAGCCCTAGTAGGTTCGTTTCAAATTTGGTAGAGAGAGGAGCTTGTACGGTGGAGGTGATCGTTTAACGTTAGATAGGGTCCCTTAAACCTACATCTGGGTCACAAGTACCAGTCACTGTTGAAGCTCCTCTCACTACAACGATGGACCCGACACAAGCATATAAATACCTTGAATAATGAGAAGATTCGTGTCATTTGTAAAAAACTACATATTCCCGACGTTTCGGTTACTTTACCGTGATCATAAAAACGAGATATTTTCAGGTCAAAAGAAATTACACGAAATCTTGATATTCTAAACTGGTCTAAAAATGGACTATACCTATAATTTCATAATTATGTATCTAAGATTAGAATTGTATCAAATTTTATGATAAAATTTTATTATTTTCATGTAAAAACTGAATTTACTTAGAGTGTTTTCTTCGTAATTTTTCAGACCTTGGTGATTCTTGTCAAAATTCGTTGGAGTGTGGTGGTAACTACACTATCTGTAATTCAGGCATCTGTTCTTGCACAGAGGGTTACAGACAGCAAGAATCAAATGGAAAAACTATTTGCTTACCAGGTATGAGAAAAATCCCTACTAATATTATAAATGCGAAAGTAACTCTGTCTGTCTGTCTGTTACGCTTTCACGCCTAAACCACTGAACTGATTTTAATGAAATTTGGTACAGACATAGAGTTGACCTTGAGAAAGAACATAGGATAGCTTTTATCCCAGACTTTTGAAAGGTTCTCTTGGAAACGGGATATAACCGAACTCATCGTAGGCGAAGCTGCGGGCGGAAAGCTAGTATTGTTGTAATCTTTAATTTCATATAAAAATGTTTGTACAACTATGCCGGAGTTGAAAAACTTGCAAAGAGGTTAAACAGAAAAGGTTTTATTTGGTTTATGTTTAGTTAAATTCCTGGCTACATTTAAGCTGGAATTTAAAAAGAAATATAATTTTTATTGTATTGTAGAGATTTTTAAATCTTTTTAAAGTTTAATAGGAAGATATGAAATGTTAAACTGAAAAAATAGTTTATATATTTCAGGTAGCCAAATGGCTACAAATATAAATATATATATATGTTAGATATAATATTTTGGTTCATAATGAATTCATAATTTCTTTTATGAATGAAAACTGTAAATACCGTTAGTACGAGTTATCTTCGTTAACGTTAAACTTACAGTTTACACGTTAAACTTAATAATTAACAACATTAATATGTATTATATATTCTTCTACCGGTCAATTTTCCAGCTTCAGCCAGGGTCTGCCTTACATGTTGTGAATAGTTTTGTCTAATTGTTTTTACGATCGCCTGCCTGACATCAACCCTCTTTGGGAAAAGTTATATACATATATTATATTTATATATATAATTATATTGTTTGATTATTCCAGCGATCGGTGGTGCGTGTGAGGTGAATAATGATTGTATTATTGAAAACACGTTTTGTGACAACAACTCAAAGACCTGCCAGTGTCGTGGAGGGTACACGGCCTTTGAAGATATTTGTTGGGAGGGTAAGTTAATATATATACTAGAAGACCCGGCGAACTTTGTATCGCCCTATAATCAAGAAATATCTGTTACGTTTTTTATTTATATTTTTGGAGTTCACCCATTAAAGCCATAAATCTCCGTGTTTTAAAGTGCTACAGAATGATTGACATATTAGTTAATTGTCAAAAAAAAACGTTTGTATCAACAACTACTAAAAAAATAATTATAAAAACATTGTCCAGCGGACAAAATTGTGAATCTAAAACATTCTTAGATCCCCTTGAACACACAAAAAGTTTCATCAAAATGGTTCAGTCGTTTGAGAGAAGTTCAGTGACATACACACTCACAGAAGAATTATATATATAAAGATATGTGGTAGAATATCTGTGGTCAAGTTACTACAGCTCGAACATGTGCTGTCTCGACCGTAAGTACCACCCTCTCACACAAGATCGGCGTGAAGTAGCCTTTAATGACTGCGTTTCGTCCGATGAGTGAGAGAGACGGTTGACTTTTCCTTATTCCCTCCCATTCTTACCTTTTCCAATAAAAACCAAAATCGGTAACGCATATACAACTATACTGCGTATGTTCATGAGCGACAGTGACTGTTCATAAAAATCATATCCTACTAATATTATAATTGCGAAAGTTTGTGAGTGTGTATGTTTGTTACTTCTTGACGCTCAAACGGCTGAAGCGATTTTGATAAAATTTTGTATACAAGAAGCTGACATCCACGAATAACACATAGGCATTATAAATCCCTACTAATATTATAACTCTGTCCGTCTGTCTGTTGCGCTTTCACGCCTAAACAACTGAACTGATTTTAATGAAATTTGGTAAAGACATAGAGTTGACCTTGAGAAAGAACATAGGATAGTTTTTATCGCAGACTTTTGAAAGGTTCTCTTGGAAACGCGATATAAGCGAATTCAACGCGGGCGAAGCTGCGGGCGGAAAGCTAGTATATAATAATTTGATATCTTCATCCTCATATTACTATAGAAGAATACTAATTACATCTTCTATTTCAGCGTCTTCTGGCTACAATTCTTCTTGCACGGTCACAGCCGAATGCGCTTTACAATCAGCTTCATGTACAAATGGTTTCTGTACTTGTCTGCCTAATCATCATTACAAGGATAATGACTGTTACCCTATCGTTGGTGAGTTAAACTTCTTATGCAACGTGTAGGTTGCGTTAAACGTTTAACGTGGGGGGGTAATGAGATATAGTAAATGGGTAGGTCGATTGCGAATTGTATGATGTTGAATTTCTTATGCAACGTGTAAGGTTGCGTTAAATATTTAACGCTCGTGGGGGTAATAAGACATAGTAAATATGTAGGTCGGTTGTGAATTGTTAATAAAGTTTTTATTAAAGAAATAACAAAAATTACTTTAAAATCTATTTCTAGGCATTCCTGTTTTCATTTCAATATTATAAAGATTTACTTCTTGTATGCGTAGTGATTTAATTTTTTTTATTTCTATAATTAAAATAAACCGAATATCCATAATTATCTGGTTTATCAGTACTTTACTTTAATTTTATTGAAATATCGTCGTTTTTATATAAAGAAATCTCTTACTACGGGTTTCTATTTACAAACTGAATACATAAAGTTTTGAGTCTTCATATAGTTATGTGTATGCAATTAATTATTTACCACTATTTAGTTTGACAATTGAAACTCGCGGTAAGACCACTATAATATTAAACTTGTCTCGACTTGTAAGTGTAATTCTTCTTACAATTCTTCTTCTTTTAATTCTTCTTTTATTCTTTTCAGAACTATTTTCTTTATGCACGCGGTCCAGTGAATGTTTTCTTGGAAATAATATATCTGACAGAGCGATATGCAGAAACGGTGTATGCCAATGTGACTTTGAATACCCCTATTCAGAAGAATTAAGGATTTGTGGTAAGTAATTCACATACCTATATATAAAATCACTATTTAAGTATATAAGCCGTGGTGGCCTAGTGGTTAAAAGGACTGCCCTTCGTGCAAGATAGCGTGGGTTCGAAACCTGGCAAGTACTGTACTGACTGATGAAGGAAAACATCGTGAGGAAACATGGAGTTATATCAAATTATAGGTTTGAAATCACCAACCCGTTTCGAGCGAGCGTGGTGATTAATGCTCAAACCTTCTCCATGTGAGAAGAGGCCTTACAGCAGTGGGCTCTGATAGGCTGATGATGATTTTCCTAATTCCTCTAAAGCTAAACATTTTGTAAAGTATTGAGTTATATATCATATCCCGAATTTTGCTAAATATATAAATAGTTATATATATACCACACATTATGTTTTCATTAAACATATATAAAGAGGTGTTCATATATACAGGGTGACTGGTGAATTACTATCAATATTTAAGGAGCATATTCGGTACATGATTCTCATTCGAATTATGTAAAAAAAATAGGTACTTAATTTTTGACAAAATTTCCGTATAAATAAATAAAGTGTTGACACGTTCCAAGTGTTCCTAGTGTGGGCGCGTACGGCGGCGTGCTGATACAACAACACGCCCCCGCTGCGTATGTGTGAGTGTGTGTGTATACCTAATCTGTAGGGTGTTCACACGATGCGTAATTAATTACATAACTTTTGGTTAACTTTACTTAGAAGTTTATTAATATTTATGTTATATTAATTTTTATTTTGTCATATATGATCGTCAACTACCACGTCCTCAAATATCGATAGTAATTCACCAGTCACCCTGTATAATGAAACTTCAACAGAAAACAAAACAGCCAAAGATAGGAGTAAAGACATGAATAAAAGATAGCTTGATAAAGCACAAAGTAGCTTGGATTTTCTATGGATTTGTTTGAATTCTAAGCTGTATTAAATTCTTTTAAGCTAAGGCCTAAATCACACTGGAATCGTGTTATATAATTCTTCTTATATATTTTTTTTATTAGCAGCATTTTCTTATTTTTTTCATTAATAAGGCTTCATTCACACTACTTCTTCCTTCTGAAAATTTCCCAGCTTTAGCCAGGGTCTGCCTTACATGTTTTAAATAGTTTTGGATAATTGTTTTAAGACCGGCCGCCTGCCTGACATCAACCCTCTTTGGGAATGCATTAATCAGTGATGTCTAAATACTCTTAGAAAGTACATATGACTCGGAAAAATCACAATGGTATTTGGTAGGATCGAACCCGCGCCCTCATGTATGCAAGGCGTGCCTTTTAACCACTAGGCCACCACTGACTTCATTCACACTATAATAATATAATTCTTCTGATATCTTCTTTATATTTTCTTATCATTACAGCATCATCATCTACATCTTTGGTGGCAACTGCCTTCGTGACCATCGCTACTGTATTGTCAATACTAGTTCAATAAATTATTATGTATTTTTATTTATTATATATGTATATAAGAAAAAAATGCATTATTTTATTATCCCTGCAAATATCGTATTTCTAAAACATATATTTTTGTATACACAAGCATATATTTTATTCAATATAAATCTTAAAAGTATAGCTTTTAAAACTTTTCATATTAAATTTAGCTTAAAATTCTAGTTATTTTTAAGGTTCATTTGAGAAAATTGTAGCTAGACAAACTATTGGATCTGAAAGGAGATAATATATGTATTGTGCATAAAATAATTTAAAATGTAATTTGTTTTGTAATAGCAAACCGTATATATTAGCTATTGCCTGCGATTTTACTCGCATGTTTAAACTTTGAGACATACTTTATAAGTTTCTTCAAATTCTGAAGAATTCTATAATAATCCTATTATGTGGAGTAGATTAAAGAAGTAAGTTACTGCGTATAAAATTCCCTACAAGAACGAGCTAGCAGTTTCAGAGATTAGATGAACCAAACAGTGAAACAAAATAAACTACAGTTTATTGTAGCTTATAACTAGTACTATATCTTTATATATATAATTCTTCTGTGAGTGTGTGTGTCACTGAACTTCTCTCAAACGTCTGGACCGATTTTGATGAAATTATTTGTGTGTTCAAGGGGATCTGGGAATTGTTTAGATTCACATTTTGTCCACTGGACAATGTTTTTTCAATTAATTTTTAATTTATTAGTAGTTGTTGATACAAACTTTTTTTGTCATTAGATTTGACAACTAACTAATATGTCAATCATTCTGTCGCACTTCAAAACACGGAGATTTATAGCTTTAATAGGTAAACTTCAAAAATATAAATAAAAAAACGTAACAGATATTTCTTGATTATAGGGCGATACGAAGTTCACCAGGCCTTCTAGTATATATATATGCCCGTAGCATATGTTTGAAATCTCTCTACAACCTATTAAAAGACTTGGGCCTGACCAGAACTAATATCAGTTCATTGCTAGAACGTACTTCGAAAGCAGCCCTAGTAGGTTCGTTTAAAATTATTTTAGGTAGAGAGAGGAGCTTGTATGGTGTAGGTGAGCGTTTAACGTTAGATAGGGTCCCTTAAACCTAAACCTGGGTCACAAGTCACAGTCACTGTTGAAGCTCCTCTCTACAACGATGGACCCGACACACGCACCGTGAATACATTGAATGATGAGAGGATTCGTCTCTAATATATAAAGTATTTAGACTTCAAAACCTTAATTATTTTATTCTCAAAACAATATATAGCACGCGATGTCCTAATAATTGTTTAATGATGTGTTTTCATGAATTTCACTTAATAAATATTTATTACTACAGCTATTAAGTATTAGATGTGAATTTATTAGAAACTGTAGTCTTACTATTCGTTTGTGACGTCAAACAGACAGTTTGACGTTTTTAAAACTTTATAATGATAGTATGAATGAAGACGTGAGATTCTCTGTATTAAGATATTCCAAACTATTGGTAAGAGGTATAGAAAATACATATAGTAAGCTAAGTTAAATATTTAATTCTGTTCGATCGAAACAAAAAATTACTTAATAAATTCCAATATCTGGTTATTTACGGCTAGGGCGGAATAGAGTTCGTCCGGTCAGCTATACATATATTACTAATGAAGAAATTAACGCGGACGAAGTCAGAGCAAAAACTAGTGTACATCTAATATGATCTAAGTAAAATGATTACAAGACTGACTGTAAGACAAAAAATTTGAGATTCTACCTATAAAACAACACGCAATATATAATTAAACTCATTAAGCCGATCTTCTATTAATGACACCATTTTTGAAGTAAGCTACAATAAGCTATAGCTTATAAGAACAATTTGAGAATACTCTCCTCTTCCCTAAACAAAACTCTCAATTCTAAATTCTAATTATATATGGTAGCAACCAGAGGTTCCAGGAAAACTACGAAACTCATATATGTATATTATAATAAGAATTACATATTAAAACTTATAACCTACACCTAAGACTACATGATTGACCCGATGTTATGATAGCAATACCATTCCATAGCTTGTGTGTATCAGGAATCTCCTGGTTCACACGCTTGGTGTTCGTTCCGCGGAGTCAGCGGCCTCAAGAGTTATATATTATACATACAACGATGTCGCCCCGGCGATGTTCATTTAATTCTTAATATGTAGCGCGTACGTAACATTTTTCTTAACTTACCTGTTCTTAGGAATCTAATATTGTGAAATTTTGTTAAAACATACTGAATATAACAAAATATTTCGATTTCTACGGCAATTTTAATCCCTACTAATATTATAAATGCGAAAGTAACTCTGTCTGTCTGTCTGTCTGTCTGTCTGTCTGTCTGCTACGCTTTCACGCCTAAACCACTGAACTGATTTTAATGAAATTCGGTACAGAGATAGAGTTGACCTTGAGAAAGAACATAGGATAGTTTTTATCCCAGACTTTTGAAAGGTTCTCTTGGAAACGCGATATAACCGAACTCCACGCGGCGAAGCTGCGGGCGGAAAGCTAGTCATATATATAGAAGTATTTATAACTGACACTTATGCTTAAATATATGATTTCTACTTTCACACTCAATAGTTATTCTCGCTACAATCATCTCAGGTGAACTTTAAAAAATACTAGTTTGACAAAATCCCTCAAAAAGTAGTATTTTAAACAAAATTTTATAAACATCTTATAATTTTTAAGATTTATATTTGACATACAAATATTTATTGTCAATACCCTTACCTTGGATTTCGTTTTAAATATTTAAATCTAAGTTAGTTTTCAATGACCTTTAAATATTTAACGTAATAAATAATTCTTTACAGTGGACGCGGAGGCCATGTTTTTGATTTCCAAAGTTTTTTTTTTTTTTGTAAATTAACATCCAAAGGGTACACGCATGTAGCATTTAAAGAGGTCGGTAAAAAACTAAACCTCCTTGCTCCTAAAGAATTCAAAGAACATACAATCGAAATTCGACTCTATCTTGTATATAATAAAGCATAATTCAGAATACAATGCATTTGACGTTTATATTAATAAAACAGATTCTACAAGAATTCATGTTCGAAATTCCTACATACAAAATTCAACTTTATTTCTTATAAATTAAGATCGAATTCACCTTAATAGTGATTTGACGTTTTTTTTTTGCCGCCAACAAAGCTATCGTGTTATGCCATAGGTCAGGTTGAAACATGCCCTTAAAAATAAGAATTTATACAAAATCGATAACTACATAATTAGTTGAAGTAATTTTACACGTAGTGTGTTAAATTTCTTTGTATAATAATATATAATATTACTAAAAGATATAGAAGAAGTAGCGTCCTAAAAGTTATTTGAAATGAAAAGAGAAAAACCTCTCATCATTCCATATATTCACGGTGCGTGTGTCAGGTCCATCGTTGTAGTGAGAGGAGCTTCAACAGTGACTGGTACTTGTGACCCAGGTGTAGGTTTAAGGGACCCTATCTAACGTTAAACGATCACCTCCACCGTACAAGCTCCTCTCATCATTCCATATATTCACGGTGCGTGTGTCGGGTCCATCGTTGTAGTGAGAGGAGCTTCAACAGTGACTGGTACTTGTGACCCAGGTGTAGGTTTAAGGGACCCTATCTAACGTTAAACGATCCCTACACCGTACAAGCTCCTCTCATCATTCCATATATTCACGGTGCGTGTGTCGGGTCCATCGTTGTAGTGAGAGGAGCTTCAACAGTGACTGGTACTTGTGACCCAGGTGTAGGTTTAAGGGACCCTATCTAACGTTAAACGATCCCTACACCGTACAAGCTCCTCTCATCATTCCATATATTCACGGTGCGTGTGTCGGGTCCATCGTTGTAGTGAGAGGAGCTTCAACAGTGACTGGGACTTGTGACCCAGGTGTAGGTTTAAGGGACCCTATCTAACGTTAAACGATCCCTACACCGTACAAGCTCCTCTCATCATTCCATATATTCACGGTGCGTGTGTCGGGTCCATCGTTGTAGTGAGAGGAGCTTCAACAGTGACTGGTACTTGTGACCCAGGTGTAGGTTTAAGGGACCCTATCTAACGTTAAACGATCCCTACACCGTACAAGCTCCTCTCATCATTCCATATATTCACGGTGCGTGTGTCGGGTCCATCGTTGTAGTGAGAGGAGCTTCAACAGTGACTGGGACTTGTGACCCAGGTGTAGGTTTAAGGGACCCTATCTAACGTTAAACGATCACCTCCGCCGTACAAGCTCCTCTCTCTACCTAACACAATTTAAAAAAAACTACTACAACAAAAATATACACTTTAATATATGTAATTTCTATTTATCGTTAAGTAATTTAAATGAAAAGAAAATATAGTTTTTTTTAATAATTCCTAAATATGATTCATTTTGTTCTTTACTATCCTCTTAATGAATTTTTTTTATTTCTCAGACATTCTTGATAATTGTCGCTGAATATTCCTTTAGTTCAATAATTGACCGTAGACTTTTTATGCAAACTTATTTTACTTGTCAAATTTCTTATATACTAAATTCTCTTATATACTTGTTTTTCTTATATTTTTATTTTCCTAACAAATCCCTACTAATATTTATAAATGCGAAAGTAACTCTGTCTGTCTGTTACGCTTTCACGACTAAACCACTGAACTGATTTTTATGAAATTTGGTACAGACAGAGTTGTCCTTGAGAAAGAACATAGGATAGTTTTAATCACGGACTTTTGAAAGGTTCTCTTGGAAACGCGATATAACCGAACTCCGCGCGGGCGAAACTGCGGGCGGAAAGCTAGTTATTATATACTTTAAGAATTATTTATTAATTTATTGTAGCTCACCCGACAAAGGTTGTTTTGTAAAGTAAAAATTTAGGGTTGTATGTATTTTTTGAAAAATTAAAACTAATTTAGGGTGAACAACCCTTATCACTTAATGATAAAAAATAGATAGTAGCCGATTCTCAGACATACTGAATAATAATATAAAGTTTGATGAAA